TACATGCAATTATTATATTATATGCTGCGGCTTGTGTATCCACACTTTGGGGCCACCCTAGTCGACTCCAAAGCAAACAACGCCAGTAGTAATAATAGGAATCTAACAATTAAATAATACTCTGCTAGCACAATTGGTGATTCACCGTTTACTAAAAAAAACTATTAATAAAGATTCAAATAGACCTTGATGCAGGGTTAAAATGATATAGTATATAGTAGATATTTTTGTACCAATGCCCATTGTTTAAATCAGGGATGATACAAACCAAATGGCCTGTATTTATTATATGTCATTTTAACCTGCCTCAATGGAATATATTTATAGAGCTCCATTAACATTTCTACTGAATCCATTGTCAGCTTTTTTTATAATAGCGTTGATATTTGTGTGATTGTTAATTTTTCCATAGATGTATAAATATAGATATAGCAGCGGCATTTTTCTCACATGTTTGATGATCACCCTTAGTTAATTCTATCAATACTACTCATTGGTTATTAGTTTCAAAAAATTTTTTGTAAAATTCTAAAGATTCAATCATTTTTCTGACAATAATAATATTTTTGAATAATTACAATTACCTTAGCCTTAATTCTTTAGATGATTATATTCTTTAAACAATTAATATATCAGATCCTATTACTTCTAATAATATTTCAATGATATTTAAGGTTAGTTAAAGATAGTCTAATTTGAACTAATGTCCATCTAGAGTTAAAAATCAAGAAATTATCAGTATAGTAGTAGGATTAGAGGAGTCATAATTAATTAAAAATTTTAATTATTACTATAAATTTTTAAACTTACGCATTATTTTAAATACGTCTGTGAGCATTATTTCAAGGTGCAGTATTAAGTTTGAAACTTTGTGTTATTTTAAATATGCCTATGCATTATTTCAAGGTGCAGTATTAAGTTTGAAACTTACGCGTTATTTTGAATACGTCCGTGAGCATTATTTCAAGATGCAGCATTAAGTTTGAAACTTGATTGTTACTACCATTTGGCGCTAAATAAAGTTACATAAGGTAGCAGGAGTCTTTTTCGATTTTTAACAGCTGCCAGCCTTGTTTAGTGCGTTGAAATTGCATCGCTTGTGACCCAGAGCTATATGAGAAGAGCATTATCTTGAATATTTTTATACGTTATAGATGTACAATAAATTTTTAATTATATAGCTCTAGACTAATCAAATTAATTATTGGTTAGTTGGGGACTGTATAATTAGAAATTTTACTTTACATCCTGTAATTCATAAAATTATTCAGGATTATGCTACGTAAGGTACATGTTGTTTCGGGATGTGCACTGGCATTATTTCTAACACCTATGTCTATTATTTCAAGAATTTAGTAATAGTTAAAATTCTTTAAATAATTAGACAATTGATAAAATTATGTTTCAATTTATCATCAGTCACCATACCTATATGCTATACATAAAGCTCATTTGAGATTCCTAAACAAATAAATTAAAAAAATGTTAACCAAGTCTAATAAAATTGTAAATAATAATAAAATTGCTCATCAAGAAGCTATTAAAGCTGCTCTTGAAGTGCTTAAAACTTCAGAACGTCCTAATTTATGTGCAACTGCTCGAAGATTCAGAGTTGCAGAAACAACTCTTAGATGTGCAATTAAAAATAATAACTTTCTTAAACATTCTGATCCCCTAACAGTTTTAAGTAAACATGAGGAAGAACAATTGGTAGGTTACTGTATAAATATGCAAAGGTTAAGTTTTGGGTTAACCAGAGCAGGTGTAAATTACTGTGTAATGGAGATTGTACACAGTAATCATCGTGATCATCCTTTTGGTAACAATGGGCCTGGTCAAGCTTGGTGGGCACGTTTTATGAAAGAATATTCTGAATTATCTTTTCGCATACCTCAGGCCTTATCAGAAGCGCGAGCACAAAGGGCCAATGCAACTATTATTAAAGATTATTTTAATAAGCTTAATCATGTAATTCGGGAGCATTTTCTTACTCCAGAACGCATCTGGAATATGGACAAAACAGGCTTTGTTATTACTCCTAAGGTCCAAAAGATTCTTGCAAAAAAGGGTTCTCGCAAAGTTCATAAGGTTTCCTGTGGCAATGTACATGACCATATCTCCGTTGTACCAACAATTTCAGCTGCCGGTGCTTATATTCCTCCGTTAATTATTTATAAGGGTGTTCGCATTATTTCAGATTTATTAGATGGAGCCCCAGCCGGCAGTGTTATGGGGTTTACAGATACCGGATACATGAAGAAAGAACTTTTTCAAATGTATCTTGAACACTTTATTAAATCAATCCCACCTTCTTGTCCAGTTCTCCTAATGCTTGATGGACATAAAAGTCATATTAATTATCGAAGTGTTAGTTTTTGTCGAGAAAATGGAATTTTACTTTATGCGCTTCCATCCTATACTACGCATATACTTCAGCTATCAGAAATTCCCTTTGCTAAACTTAAGAAAGAGTATAATAAAAGCTCTAATATGCTTTATACTAACCATATGGAGTTAGTAACTAAATGCTTATTTGCAAAAATATTTAGGCTTGCATTTATTTCTATCTATACACCAGCGGCAATTACTAATGTGTTTAAAGCTACTGGAATCTGGCCCTTCAATCTAATGCTATTAGTAATAGCCTCCTTGATCCTTCATTAACTACCGAAAAATTGAACGTGCCGACACCTATAGATGTGCAAAGTAATTCTGTAAATAATAATGATCTATGACTTATCCTCTACTTAATAATATTAAGTAATATTAAGTAATTATTATATTATTACTTATACAGATAGGTTAGTCATGGCAAAAAAAATGTCAAGATGTTATCATTTCCAAACATAATCGATGTGGACGCTGATTATATTAATGTTAATAAGGTTAATATATTGAAATTGTTTGTGTATCAATGAATTATCAGACTACGACGAAGTTATTGTTGATCAAATCATCTCGACATTTTTTGCTATGACTAGTCCATTTTACTTATACATATAAAGCCATCGGAAGTAAGTGACCAAAACCGAGATTGAGCGAAAAATTGTTGCTAAAATTATTGCTAAAATAGAATGATTGAAATTACTTATTATTACCTATTGCAAATAATATTAAGTATTATTAAGTAAAGATATGTAATAATTTGCCCAATTCTACCTACATCCCAATAGCTTACCCAAATCTCTGAACAAGCACTTGTGCAAGTTGATCAATATCCTACCCAAGTTAGTGTTAATCTTCAGTCAACTAATCCACACCTCATCCAAGCCAACCTTCTTAATGAAGTAGAACTATTAGAACTGTTAAGATCTAAGATCGAGGCTCTTAAAGAAGAAAATAAGACGTTAAAAAAGGAGTTAGAGACCTTCAAGAATCCCGGTACCTCTTCTTTAAAGCTAGTGCTCAAGTATCCAATTTCTCAGCCTAAAAAAAAGAATGCTAATGAACAATCAAAAAAAGAAAAACACTGCCATTTGCACGGCTTCTAACTAGCAATGAATCTTGGAAAGAAATAAGTGAAATGAAAGAGTTGGCAAATAAAAAGGCTGAAGACGTAAAAAGAAAAAAAGAAGCTGCTGCTTTGAAATGAGCTAATCGTGAACTAGAAAAAGCACAAAAACAAAAATCAGTAAAAAAAAAAAAAGCGAATAAAAAAATAAATCTAACCAAAAAATAAATCTAACACTAATTAAAAAAATAAAGTGCATTGCCTGATATGTATAGTCATATGTTTGATAATATCATATATTTGATTGGTTGCCTGATACGTATAGTCATATGTTTGATAATATCGTGTATTTGATTGGTTGCCGTCTTGATGTACATCATTCCGCCACAATACCCATAGTTATTAAAAACCACAATTTTTAATCGCTTTCGAGAAAATAAAACTATAACGATAGTTTTAGATGAAATTAGTTTTATTTTTTTGGTGGTTTAAAGCAAATTATGTCTACTATTTGTAGAACAAATTTGACATACAAATAACTGTTTATTGTGAACTTTTACTATTAGCTATTCTTAACCCCGCCATAATACCCATACTTACTTTATTATATATTTTTTTAGGTGCTGAATATATTTTACTTAGAAAAAGTTCGACATAAAAGAAAGTCGCATAGATGTGTCAAAATAAAATGAGATCAGAAGGTCGATTGGTGGTTATGTATATGGGTGATTATTTTTGAATCCAAACATGATGTCATAAATATAAAATTGGTCCGGGTTCAAAAATAATTACCCATATATGTATCCTCGTACTTTATCGTATCATTAATTTTATAAAATATATATACAGTACTAAATTATCTTCCGTACAGTACACTATATATTGATATATTCCCCCCAGACCCGGGTCGTTGCTTTTAGTTTTTATATGTATGATATCGATATATTAGATCTGTATTTGCCAATTAGGGTCCTGCAAATGCCGGCACGCTTACTACGTACGTACGTATTAAAACAGTGCCCATGCCTGTGCCCGCTAAATTAAATCTGCACCTGCAAAATTAGATAAATATACGTATTAATTAACGTTAAAATTTATTGCTTGCCAATTTAGAATATATATTTAATTTATTGTAATTCACCGAATAAATACATTATATAATATATTTTTTTTGCCATAGAATAGTGGTATTTAGGAATGGTCACGGCTCAGCAAGTCGCGCCTTGAGCCGATTTGACTTGGCTCGTCATACTTTCGGGTGAATCGAATCGACTCAAGGCTTGATTTTATTAAGAGTTCCTAGGAGCTCGCTCAGAGCTTGAGTCGATTCGATTCGATCAAAGTTTGCTTGAGTCGACTTGAGTCAACCCATCCTTAATGGTGTTTAATATTTGTTCAATTTTTGTTATAATCAATCATATCGATATTGTTAGTTAACATAATATGATCGATCACTACCTCTAAATGTCGCGCACTGTTTATATATAATCCAAGTCTAATAACCAATCATTCATTCACTATTGGTTAATAAGTTACAAAAGTTGGGAAAATGGAAGATGAAGATAACGATATAGAATGGTATTTTGGTTCACAGGCTTCCATTCCCAAGAATGGTTCTACTGCTTCAGCAACTTCTAGCAAAAATGCTTACCTTGACGTACAAACCGAAGAATCTAAGACTGAAAAGAACGCACAAAAAGTCGACGATACTAATGGGTTTGTACGTACCAGTACAGATACCCTTTCAACATTAGCAGGTTGTGTCCACCTGGCTTCTTCACTGGTAGGCTCGTACGAGAGTTCCTCTGAATACAGCACTAGTGAAGACGATGATTCGTCAGCTGAGGATATAGTTTTTGATCTCCAGAAATTGCGGCGTGAACAGATCAAGCTTAACTTACGTAAGAAGTTATTGACTAATGACTCGGTGGACAGGACGGTGAACATATCAGCAAACGGATCTGATACATCAAATAGTTCACAGTTGGAGGATGTTCCTGAAAATGGGTCTAACGAGCAGCATATAAAACATGCGGTCCGTAATCCTCTTTGTCCAGTTAAATCTGCGCAAAGACCTTCAGTTCATATGCTTAATTATGAAAAGTTTAAAGCATCAACAAAATATTTTTCACCACCGGATTCTCATATTGATGATGGATCTGCTTGGATTCCTAAAGTTAAACGGACACGACTTCCTATTGAATCTCGCAGAGACGATATTATTAATATTATTCGAGAAAATAAAGTAGTTGTGTTGAGTGGAAGTACAGGATGTGGCAAGGTATAATCCGTAGGATAGTATTTATTTCATTTTTCATAATGATGTTTAACAATCTCATTTATAGTCAACCCAAGTCCCGCAATACATACTAGATGATTGCTTACAACGAAATATTTCCGTTAACATAATATGTACACAACCGGTATAACACATTTTTTAGGGATGATTCAAGTAGTTAATATCTTACAACTAAATATTTGGTTTAATTTACATTTGTCTAAGCGCCGTATCGCTGCAACTTCTCTTGCACACCGGGTTTCTTCTGAACGGGGAACCAAGCTTCGTGGGCAAGTGGGATTTCATATTGGTGGTAAAAATGGTTATTCTTCGTCAACTCGATTACTATACGTCACAACGGGAATTTTGTTGGAAATGTTAAAAGCTGACCGATATTTAAAGTCTTACACTCATGTAATCATGGATGAGGTATACATTCATAAATTTCGTTTATTTTTCAACATTGGCTTCATAGTAATATGCCGGCTTTTTTGATTCAAAGATCCATGAGCGGAATGTCGATGACGATTTAATGATGGCGCATCTTTGCGAAATTATGAGAATGAATTCATCCTTAAAATTGATCATTATGTCGGTGGGTTTGGAATCTTTTGAGTTTGATTTTCAATTATTTACTTATACTTTATACCTGTGAACGCGCTTAGGCTACTATGAATACCAAAAAGTTTACTGAATATTTTCATGAATTTGAAATCGAGAAAGATGGTATTATATCGAAAATCCCATGGATAGATGTACCCGCAAAGAATTTTCCAGTTGATGTGTTCTATCTGGAAGATATTTGTCAGGGCCTGGAAGTTACTGAAGCACATCAAACACTGATTATGAGTGAGCCTAAGAAACCCGCAATGATGCAAGAACGACGGGATATTTTAATAGACTGGATTATGCATTGCCATGCTACATGTTCGGCTGATGAAGCATTTTTGGTTTTCTTGCCAGGAATATCTGTCATTGCTGAAGTGGTAAGATCCAAACCTTTTTTTTTTTTTTTTTTTTTTTTTTAATACAATTAACAGTGCTTGAAACGTATAGGAAGACCAATTGATGTTTCTTAATGAACGACAACGGTATGCAAATACTATTTTATTAAATTTAACTGCCTAAATATGAAATGATCTATTATTGAAAACATTGTATTCGATAGATGCGGAATGGTGCTGCATGACGGAAAACCAGTTCCTTTTATGACTATTATAAAACTTCATTCTACTGTCACAATAGATGAACAATGTGTGGCCATGCAACGTCCCAAAAGTAATCACCGAAAAGTGCAGTAAAATATTATTCCTGCAAATGTTGCTTTTATACTTCCGATTAGGTGTGTTAAAATATTTCGATAAATGTAGATCATATTGGCAACCAATGTTGCCGAAAGTTCAATAACGGTCCCTGACGTACGAATTATATTTGATTCCTGCTTGCGCAAGGACGTGTATTATGACAAAGCCACAAGATGTTATAGTCTGAATGAGCAATGGATAAGTAAAGATTGCGCCGAACAACGACGCGGAAGGGCTGGTAGAGTAGGACCTGGAGTGGTAATATATTAGATTACATGTATTAATATAGAATATTAATATCGTCTCTAAGTTTTTATGATTTTTTAGATTTATAGGTTTGTACCAAAAGGGTTTTATGATCAATTGTGTGAAGAAAGAACTCCCGAGATTCGAAGAACGCCGCTCAATTCCTTATTGTTGAGATGCATATATGCGAATTTTGGAGATCCTCGTACATTATTGTCTCGCTGTATAGATCCTCCTGATGATACTGCAGTTGATTACGCATTAGAAGATTTGGAAGCAACGGGAGCTGTCACCAAGTCTGTCCCAATTATTAGGGAAACAGATGACTGGGTTCAAGGAAGCATAACAACCTATGAATACGAAGTGACTAGACTTGGATCGATTCTAGCACAGCTCCCAATTGATCTTCATTCAGGACTATTAGTTGTATATGGTGCCATATTTGGGTCCTTATATGACACTATGATTATTGCGGGTAAGTATGACTCTATTTAGTGTTCTTAATAGTAATCTTGGAAAAAAAAAAGATGGATTAATATTTCGATTTTTGTCAACAGCTATCTTACAAAATCGAGGTGTTATTGTGCAGCCACCTAATCAGGAAATAGCTATTAGTGCGGCAATTAAAAGATTCCATTTAAATTTGCCTAGTGAATATAAATTGCAAGGAGGTTCTGACTTAATATCCCACCTTCGTGCTTATTTGTTTTGGGAGGAGACAACACAAAATGACAGTGAATTTGATAGGACCAATGAATTAAATTGGTGTCAACAACAGTTTATTAGTTTATACTGGATACGTGAAATTCAAGATTTAGTGATCACTATCAGAGAATCGTTATCTTATCAAAATATATGTTCACCTCCAACGAAGCAAGAACGAGACAAGATACGTAGAAATCGTGTAAATAACCCACACCTTATTATACCGGATGAATTTTCAGAGTACTCA